GGTGTGGGTGTGGGTGTGTGGGTGGGTGTGGGTGTGGGTGTGCGTGTCTGATTGAAACACAGCCACACCCACACCCGAGAACGAGAGTGACGAAATGGTATCGCCCATCCACTATCATTTTTTTAATTTCCTCTCTTGATGCTGCAAACAATTTTGAATAAATCCAATATAATACAATGAAGGCGACCTTATGTTCAGTCTAAAGCAAGGTCGACTAAATCTGGACCATGGCAATTACGGTGATTCTCATGAGTAAATCATGCTGATGCAAAGAAAATTTCGTAACATAAGCACACAGAATTGCGCCTTTCTGTTTGAATCTTAATCACACATTTTGTGTTGTACATGGAAACTACCTTGTCTATCAAAATTATTTCCCCATATTTACTTTCTGCTGTTTACGTGATGCGTCAACATCTTGAACAATATTTACTGGTAGTTATGAAACACTCAGCCTTATAAAAGTATGCCGCTAGCCTTCATACTACCACATTTTTTTCTTTCCTTCTTTTGTTGCCTATATTGACTTTTAAACATTACTCTTTTACTTGCTGTTCTCGTGCTACTTACTGTGGATAAATATTTCTATCGATCGTGAAAGAAAAAACAAACAAAGTGATGGCTACCGCTCATGCTTCGACTGCTATCAATGACCTGTCCGTAAAGTACCATACAGTGACTATTTGTAAAGATCTGCCAAAAGTTCACGAAAACAAGTATAATTATCGGAAAACATCCAAAAATCTTCTATTTAGTGAATACTGGTTGCAACAAGTGAAGTTCGACGTCAAGACAAAACATTACAAGATCCAACATATCATTGCAAACGGACCACGTAAATTAGGCAAACTTTGTTCTCCTAGATCTATAGGTTTCTTTGTATTTAGATACATCTTTAGGTGAGAGTCATGTAATTTTCGCGGCCTTCTTATATGCTTACAATTCACATGAAGGCATTGTTTTGTCTCCCGATGATATTTGGCTCATGGTGTGTATCTATTTTTCGAAATATGTTAATGATAACGCCGAACAACTACGAAACGTTTTTGTTGACCATGAAGGCAAGAAACTGTTGACCATCGTGCAGACAGGCGTAGTCGAACCAGAGTAAGTATGTGACATTTAGTGAACGAAACACGCTAAGATCTTTGTTTTTGCAGTTGGAATGATTTTTTCAAGCGCATGCAAGTGGAAATCGAAAAGAATGTGAAGAATAATGTCGCCGAATTGCTTACGGCCAATTTTTCAACTACCAACAACGTTGAATTACTTCTTTCATGTGTGGCCATCATGACTACATTCAAGAAATACTTCGAATACCGCGAACTGGCCACCATGTGTGGCATTCGTAATGTTCATTTTACGGGCACACTGGATGATTGGAAACTTCTACGCCACAAAATTGAACAACTAAAAACTTTCACCACACCTACTAAACCTTGGGAAAATGGTTTCGATAGTTATATCGATGGCTTGCTGCCTATCATCGATCAATTTATTGAAACCTACCAGGGAAATGTCGATAATGAGTTCTGGAACAAGGTCATGGATATCAAGCATAGAGGTGGTGGAGGATCGGGAGTGTAAGTTTCTAGTGTTCGAAATGCAGCATCTGTCTCTAGTTAGAAGCAAAAAAAATCCGTGTTGATCCTTTTTCATAAAAATAATTGTAGGCCAAAGTTGTCCACCTTATGAATAATCGATGTGTCGTGAACTGGAATGAAAAAAACATCCATAAATCTTCATTCTTCGTTTTAGAGTCCCAGGAAAGTATGTGAGCGGATGGTTTATTCGGCTTTGTTACGGATTTCATCGAGATGGAAGTGTTCATATCGATGATATACGCCTCGACTCACTTGCTGTGCCTGTAAGAGTAGACAACGAGAATACCAATGAGTCGAAAATGTGCCATGTAATGGGCGGCTTTCATGGAGTCGAATCAGTAGATGGACATCACAAACCGGTGATGAGTCTTGTCGTTATGGACGATACGAGTACCATTAAGCCTTTGAAACCATAATTAAGCATTGTATATTCAGTCAAGATATTACTATATTTTGAATTTTAAATAATAAATATTGAAAGAACAACAGAATGACTTCAACATAAAAATTGTATTAGTTTTAGATAATCTTTACTGCTGCGAGAGGTGAATCAAACAAACTACGAGGCGTTTCGACCTTGCTGAAGGGTCTCATCAGATGGTTCAGACGTTGTTAGATTAACTGTGTAAGTGAGTGTTCTATCGGATCGAAGACTATTTTGTTGTTGGATAGGAACGATAACCGAAGTTCTAGTTCAAGTGAAACAATGGGCAGCGAAATCGAAAGAAGATATGATGAAAACTAAGGCCTAGTCATGTTTCCTGCCTAGTTGTAGGAGCTTACCAGCGATGAGCAAAGGGTGTGGGTGTGGGTGTGGGGTGTGGGTGTGTGGAGGTGTGGGTGCGGGTGTATGGAATATGGGTATGGTGGTCATTCTCTTCCTCACACCCACACCCTACCCACACCCACACCCACACCCACACCCACACCCACACGCACACCCACCCACACCCACACCCGCACCCACACGCACACCCACCCACACCCACCCACACCCACACCCTTATAAAGAAATTTTGCTACTTTATTCTTTTTCGATGGATTTATTTTTTGAGAACTTTATTTTTGAAAAAAAACAATAAAATATGTTAATTACATACTTGCAATAGCAATATTTCATATTTTCATTTTGTTATATGTTAAGGAACATCGATAAATCTTTTTTTTATAAATAACAAAATTTAGAAAGATTTTCAAAAATATTGTCAATTGTTTTTTCCTATTGGCTTCAATTTTGTTGTGGTACTTAAACCTTTAAGACATTCAATCTTCTATTGTCATTTGCAAACATTTGTTTGAAACATTCTTATCAAAAGCACACTTAAACTTTCCACAACAGAATGACAATAAAGAATCTTCTTTATTCAAAGGACATTGATATATGAAGAAATATTTCAATTAAAAATTGAGGGTCGGGGTCATACAATATTAGGTAAAAATTGTCTAAATCGAATTTTGTCAGTAAATATTCAACTTGTTTAATTTAAATAGACGATTCAATTTTGTCTGTAATGAGTTTTCGTAGCAGTAACTGGTAGTGTTGAAGCAGAAATGTTGAAAGGAGTAACTTGATCATTTCCCAAATGTAAAAGACGTTTTAGATACATTTTGGTTGTCTGTCGAAAACGTGATGAAGAAAGAAAATATATATAAAATGATGAAGCAAAATCGAGAGAGACTATATATCCACACAATTGAGCCAATAGATATTCAATATAAATTTGATTTAAACTTTTCATTGCTCTTTGTTGAACTGTTGCTATTGTATAAATCAGGAAGATACACTGAGGAAGTGTACATGATACATTTAACAGTGTTTGAATAATCATCATTCTTGTTATTTGTCGTTCCCATATTGATAAACGAGTTGGAACAGATTGTTGTTGACCATTAATAGTCGTCATAAGATGAAGATTTCGATATGTAAGAATACCAAATACAATTAAAATGATAAGAGGAAAAATAGCACCTAATATAGGAGCCAGAAAAAAATTGGTAATTTTTTGAAAAAGATCATTAGTTAATCCACAAGTATAGGTAGGTGGAATCAAATCGTAAAAAATAAGATAAAGTATGCTCACCAATGACCAGAATATAACAGTAATTGAAACAATACAATGAGCTATACGAATTGAACTTAATTTACGTATTCTTGCTGATCTTGATGTACATGCCCAACGATCAAATGCAGCCAAACCAAGAAAACTTAGTGCACATGGTGCTACTATTCGACTAAAAAAAATAATCAATTTGCACGATATTGAAGATCTATTTATTGATGTTGACGGAAAAATTTGAAGAAAAACTAATAATAAGGAACCAAAATCAAATAATGATTGAGTAACAATATAATAAGAACTAGGAGATTGTCGAAATGTTTTCACTCCAATAAAAATAATCACATTTAAAATAACTGATGGAACTCCAATAGTAAAGAGTATAATTGGCCCCCAAAAAGATAACTGAATGACTGCTTGAAGAACGGACATATTTTACTTTCTATATCTTTTCTAAATTAAAATGAATACTAATCGGCTTTTTATACTTTCTCTCTTTTTCCAGAATCGAGTTACTCAAGCACTATCGCACCTACTCATTTTTCTCTGTCTTTTCCACCCGATTCTTCATTAGAATATATTTTGATACCTAATAGAAGTGCATAGGTTTGTCAAAAACAGATAAGTTGTGCAGAAAATAATTCTATCAGGAACAGTCGTAATTATCACCCACATTCTCTATCATTCAATGAAAAACAACTTTGTTTTTTTTCTGAATAAAATATTTGAACATTGAATTTACTTTAAACTTGAGAAATATTTATATGATTTTACTTTTAGAAAAATGTAACTATTATTGATATAATTGCAATAATTATGAAAACGTTTGACTTTTTTTAAACATAAATTGAAATGCATTCAATACGACGTTTTGTGATTAATTTCCTTTGATATTCTATATAATATATGACATCGACATGTCTTAGCATGAGGGATTATATTATGAAATAAATTAATTAAATTTTTAGTCTATTGAAATATGATTAAAAAAGATATGTCCTTCAAATATAAATCATAATTTAACTTGTTTAGTTCAGTCAACATCTAGACAAATGTCAAAAAAATACGTAGATCAGATGCATTATTGTAAAAATAAGTTAAAGTGTTTTCTAAAGACAAATAGCTAATTATATTTTTCTTCAATATGACATACAAATTTGAATGTCATTCAATAGAAAAATGATTAATTTCTTTTTTTTTACTTATTTGTTGCATTTTAAATGATCTCTTCCTAAATTATAAAAATAGCAACGTAATCATCCATGTAACTGATTTTTGAAATAATGAACAGTATAATGCATGATTTCGCCATTAAAAATCAATGGATACAGTGACATGATAATGCAACGTATTTCTCGCGTTATAATTCACTGAAAATTCACAGATTGTAATTCACTGCAGAGTGTGGATGTGGATGCGGGTGTGTGTATTTCCTTTATTTCCACTCACACATACACACCCACTCACCTACACCCACACCCTCACCCCACACCCACACACACCCACACTATGGATCGCGTTGCACAGATGACAGTTCGGGTCTTATTCTGCTCTGTTAAATATTCTAAATCTCAAGGTTTCAACTGGCGTTATACAGTTCAACCGTACTCAATTAATAACGCAGTCTAATAGTAAAATTTATTAACCTGATTATTATCTTACAAATTTTTTCTATAACTGCTAATTAATATTATTTAGAACGCATGATATACAAAACAAGTGTTTAATGATTATTGAACACGGCAAAACTAATAATATATAAAAATTTGCCTTAAAATTTAGTCCGCTGCAGGAAAATGACTCATGGAATAACTGAGTTTAAGAGAGCATTAAATTGTTTTCTCATTTCAATTATCAACCGATGTAAGGTGTAGCAATATCTTCTGAGAGCCAGTCTTCATTGCAATAATCTTGATCACAACAGAGATAAGCATAACTAGACGTTGAAAATGAATAGCATGAAGAACCACTGAGAGCACCAACATTAACATAATCAACTATTTTTTTGTTACCATAGTACGTATATCGAATTTCGAACTAAAAGAATAAATTAAAATACTTTAATGACATTGTTCAATTGAAAACCAATATCATCGATAGAATACTCAATTCATTCGTATTATCATATTGTGCAAATCTAATGATCCACAAATTTGTTTCAATAGTGAGTTTCTTCTTTTTTCTTTTATATATTTTTAAATTACTTATAAAGCATTCTTGTCCCTCTTCATATTGTCGACTGCCTGGATAACGCCACCAATCACTTGGGTGGGTGGGTGTGGGTGTGGATGTGGTGTGCGTGTCTGATTGAAATACACCCACACCTACACCCCCACACCGACACCCCACCCACACCCACACCCACACCCACACCCACCCACACCCACACCGACACCCACACCCACCCACACTCACACCCCACACCCACACCCCACACCCACACCCACACCCTTTTTGAATGCGCTGAAGTTCATAGACATGCTTTTTCTTTCGTTTTGAGCAAGTCACTCCGAGTTCCCGGTTTCCTGGGAACGAGAACCCGTAACGGGTTCCGGGTTCTTAGGAACGGGAACCCGGTTAAAAATTCATTTCTGTGCATTTTTGAGCACACTAGAGTTCATAGACATACTTTTTCTTCCGTTTTGAGAGAAGTCTCCCCGGGTTCCCAAGAACGAGAACCTGTATCGAGTTCCGGGTTCCCAGGAACGGGAACCCGCACCGGGTTCCTAAGAATGAGGAACCCTGTTGCAAATCGTTTAAAATAGAAGTTTAGATATGGTTCCCAGTTTTTGGGAACCCGGTATGGATTCTCGTTCCTGGGAACCCGGGAACCCAGAGAGACTTGTCTCAAAACGAAAGAAAAAGTATGTCTATGAACTCTAGTGTGTTCAAAAATGCACAGAAATGAATTTTTAACCGGGTTCCCGTTCCTAGGAACCCGGAACCCGGTACGAGTTCCCGTTCCCAGGAACCCGGGAACCCGGAGTGACTCGTCTCAAAACGAAATAAAAAGTATGTATAAGCACTCCAGTATGTTCAAAAATGCACAGAAATGAATAACCAAGTGGGTTCCCGTTTCTAGGAATCCGGAACCCGAAACTGAAACCCCCATGTTGGAGCCTCAACTGTCTTGCCACTTTCCAAAAATAAATGAAATATTTATAATCTGCACATTTCATGCTATTGAATTACAAAGACTTATGATTGAATAGCCAGAGAATTGTTTTTTCGATACCTGAGGGGACCTCAAGTATCAAAATTTGAGTTGTGACCATATGAAATACAGAATTGTGAAGAATATTGAGAGTTCGATGCTGACTTTCAAAGTAATAAAATCAGGTTTAAACAATTTGGGGCTTCTCATCCGTAATTCCATGCAACTTTTGACATATTAAAGCGTGATTAATGTATGATAATAAACTAAGAAATGAATAACCATCAACTACATGCTTTTCTTAATCTTATTTTACTATATTTTGCTTGTTCGATAAAGTTAGAGATACTTCACTTTACTTTACTTTACTTTTCGGGTAAAGTAGATCTACTTTACTTTACTCGATAAAGTAAAGTACACCAACTTTACTTTATCCGATAAAGTAAAGTAGGATTACTTTACTTTACCTAGTAAAGTAAAGCATTTTGCTTTACTTTACTTGATAAAGTAAAGATAAAGTGCCACCCCTAATCTTCACGTAGTGTATAATTACCGTAAGTAATACAGACCTAATGGTAGATAAGAGTTCAGTGACTCAGATAGATTAAGATTCTTTTGCATGGAAAAGGCCTTGGAATTCAGATGCTGCTTTTTTCAGAGGCCGATTTATACAGTTCTACCTGCGCTTCACACTACAATATTTGGATTTAATCCAAGCGATTCAGTTATGTCGCTATGTTTATTTTCTCCTTTCACCATTACAAAAGTCTTTGTTCTTATCATGCTCCTAAAACTAAAGAAATAGGTAAATACTGATAAAGTACTCACAAATGAAGGAAAAAGAAGGTGAGTGATATATAAAAAGACTCTCTCCTTCAACACAACACTCAGTAAGAGAAGAATAAATCTTTGTATAACGTTTTTACTCCATGGAAATAAGTACCATATAAAGCTGAAAGTAAATAGGCAGGAGACAGATAAGATTAAATTACGGTAAAATTGCGATCTGAATGGCTATTGTGGGAAAAGTTTCTAAGCACTTCACTCAACTTATTGTTATATTAAAATATTTGTATTTCTGTAAAAGATTCTGAGTCCATGAGTTTAGATTATTTCGTTTCTAGTAAGTCCATTTTTACCGTAATGAAACGTATTTTTTCATTTTAGAGAGTGGATATCATCGAGTTTTGTCAGCTGAATTAAAATTTTTAATAACCACTTCAAAAACAGTGCGTCAACGACTGAAAGCAAAAAGCAGTCAGAGTCGACAGCTTTTGGAGCAGCAACGACCACATCCTTCTTACCACCTTCATCAGACATGTCTGACACTATTCCTCATCGAACAGTTTTCAATCGTGAACGCATTAATCTTGAATCACATCAATTGATCTGGTTGGATGCCTATGTTGACGATAGTAGTCACAATGATACTGTTATTACATTGAAAAACCTACGCAAAATAGTTGATTATACAAAGATTTACAATAATAGTGAAGACTGTTTTCAATACATCAAACAGACACAGAATACTGTGACATTTTTAATTTGTTCAGGTAGCTTGGGACAGCAACTTGTGGCGCTGGTTCATGAAATGAAACATATTTGGACAATTTATATTTATTGTCAAAACAGAAGTTATCACAATCTATGGGCTTCCAAACACTCAAAGGTATAGAATTTATAACAAGGGACACCGAAGGGTTTTTGAAAGCGACAGACATCTTAATAAAAACGGCTAGTAAAACACCCCCGTTAGCTAGTGCATGATTTCCCTAAGGTTTGTATAGCTTCATTTTATCATGCATAATTGACACTGTAAAGTTGTTTTAGCAGTCAATGCTAATTTATTGATAGGCTAGTGCATTTAACGCCGTCACTAGAATGTCATTAAACCGCCGCATCTTTTACTGATGTTGAAGAGTCGTATCTTCGAAACGAAACCGTCGAGATCTCGCATGTCTCGCATTATCTCTTCCTACTCAAGAAACTGTATTCTCCAAAAATTATATTGTTAAAGCCCTCAGATCTATACAGTAAAACCCCCTATAGTGAAAACCTCTCTAAAATGAACACCTCCTTATTAGGAACGCTTTCAAAAAGTCCGAAAAATCTATTTTCGCTGGAAATGCACCTCCCTAAAGTGAACACCTCCGTATAGTGAACGGTTTTTTTCGGTCCCTATGGTATTCATAATAGGGAGGTTTTACTGTATTCCATTTTCCTAAATAGTCAGCTTCTAAAAGGTGCTCGTAGCACATTTCGAGGGTACTATTTGCTA